TCTCAAGAACATTACAAACGTCACGACTATTACAAGAAAAAGGACTATTACGATGATGATTACGAAGATAAATACAATAGTAAGTTACCTACTACCAAAAATCATTAACATGATATATAAATATGCTAACTTTATTTATTCTCAAGAACACTACAAACGTCACGACTATTACAAGAAAAAGGACTATTATGACGATGACTACAAAAAGGACTACTACAAAAAGGATTACTACAAAAAGGACGACTACAAGAAATATTAATGGGATAATAAGCCCAATGTACCATAAAAATATGCTCTCTTACATTTAAGTTTATATTTTATTTGTACATTTACGATGGTTATTATGGGTTCTTATCTTTTCTGTACATATTTTAATAATTTTTCGGTTTTTTTTTAATCATAATCGTAAAACTTCTTTTGTTAGTTTTTTTTTAATGTATATATCTTTAATTTGAATCTGTTTCGTCATACTTGATAAAATAAACTGAAAATTTTTATCTAGGTGAATATAAAAAAAATAAATGTAATGTTAGTGAACAGAAATGCACGTTAACAATATAATATTAAGTTTTTTTTATGCTAACATGAAACGCGATCAATAATAAAAATTATTTAACTTCATGACAAACATTTATCCATCTTAGCCTTTTAAAAGTTAAACCACAAAATAAAAAATAGTTCCTCACTTTCTAAAATATTATTTATTTAAAAAGTTATTTTCCAAGAATACTTTGAATCTTGACGCGTGAAAAGATTTGGATTTGTAGCTAACCAATCAATTTATTAATTTCAAAAAAAAAAAAATAATAATATTTTAAATTATTTAAGCATCTTTATTATGAATGAATAAATTAATAACATTAAGGACATTAAACCGACAAATTTACTAATTAGTCTTAATACAAAATGTTCATTTAATTCGTTCCATTCAGGGCTAAAAATTGATAATAAAGTACCGTATTTTGACCGGTATTTCTATAAGCAGTTTTCAACCCTGGTTCCATTACATTCTTATTTGCAATTTTTTTTTTTTATAAAATAAAATTCACCTTATGTACTTTATAAATCTTATCTATGCATCAAAAAAAAATAAAATAAAAAAATGAAATAATCTTTTTTATAGATTCATCCCGAAGTTAAACCCTAAAGAAAAGAAAAAGGGCGCAAGATATGAAAAATATAATCGATTGATCGCTTCCACTCAAAGCGACTGAATCCAATACAAAAAAAAAACGAAAATATAAATATAATAAATTAAAAACTACTTAACTTATGATCTTAGAAACTGCGTGTGTATCCGATCCGGATAGAAACCTGGCAATACCTAGTTCCAAAATCGTAGCAAAAATAAAAATAAAAATAAAAAAGGGAATAAAACCGACTCATTTGATATGTACGCAAGATTTGAAGGAATTTAAAGAAATAAAAGGGCGCAAGATTTTTTATTTAATCGCTGCGATCGCTTTTTGTATTCGGGTGTTTCTATTGTTACGATGTTGATCCGCCGACATTGAAGCAGTATTTGAAGAATTACGTGTTGAATATGAAATTTCCACAGTTTCTTCAGTTACAGAACAGACTTCAAAACCAATAATTTCAGATAGTTCTGTTATGAGCATTCTATTTGTAAAAAAGAATCAGCAAATTTCAACTGTTGATAAAGATGAAATTACAAAATACCTTAATGAAGAAGCTCTACCTGCACTTATCCATTTGAATGGTGTAGGGTTAACAAAATTCATTATCCGCGATTATCAAAACTTGCACAAAAGTATCTATCCATTCCAGCAACTTCAGAACCATCGGAACGCCTTTTTTCAGATCAGGAAATTTAAATACTCACGAACGAAATCGACTTAGCCCTCATCTTGTAAATCAATTTAAAAAGAAACAAAAAAATATATTGAAATATTCGATTAATTTGTTAATATTTGGATTTATTTTTCTATTAAATAAAGATTATAATAAAATTTTTGCTTAAGATTGTTTTTATAAAGTTTTATACTTTAAAAAAATTAAAAAACTAATATCGACTTTGCCGATTTTTGATTCCAATCCCTACGCATATGTTATGTAAGTCCCGTGGAGAGAATTGTAACGTTAACGGCGCAGTAAATGCGAATTCGAATTGCGTCGGACTACAGGGGTAATGATCTAAATCGGATAATTTTCGGTTCGATTTTTCGAAATTTTTAAAAATAATTTTCGGTTCGTGCTGGAATTCACAATGTAAACGAAAAATTTAATTTCTTTAAAGTTAATAAAGATTTATTATAATCCGGAAAAATAAATCTTCAAATTTTTTATGTAACCGAAAAATTTTGTGAAATCGAGTTTTTCCGCCAACACTCGAACGAGAAACTATAGCCAAGCACTTCCATCAATAAAAACGCTAGGTATCATTACGAAAGATCCAGTTCCTCATACTCCTTCCCAGACTTCTCTAATAATTCCGAGACACTTTCTCGTGCAAGTCGCATTAGCAATTACAGTAATTTTCACTCTTCCTTATGTTGGTCCTCTTTTTAAAGAAAAATGTGGGTTTTTGCTTCTGAGAAAATTACAGATATGTAATCTATATCTCATACCTTTCTTCTCAGAGAAATTACCTATGTACTTTGATAATATAAAATATTGAATGAAACCTTGGTACATGCTGCTGATAACAAGGTACGTTTTATTACGACTGTTAGTTACTTCTGTCGTTAAGTTTAGTGTCGATTATATAAATATTTTCGTTAATATCAGGTTCGATACCAAAAAAAATGAATCTCATTAAAGTTGATATTGACAAAGCAGGAGGTCAAATATATCTTTAATAACGGAAAAGGAATTCCTATTGAAATGCACAATAATCAAAAAGTACATCTTACAAATTATGATGATAAGGAAAAGAAAGTTTCCGGTGGTAGTAATGTTTCGGTGCTAAATTAGCGAAAATATACAGTATGGAGTTAATTGTGGAAATATCTTGAAATAGCGCCAAACTTTCAGGAACAATATGACCGTAATCAAACCACAAATTATCACTGCTGGTCAAAAAGTTGATCACATTTCAAACAGATTTTCACAAGTTTAATATGACTCGGTTTGATGATAACATTATTGCCATCTTAAAAAAGCGTTTATACGACATGGCGGAGTGCGTTGAGGAAGTTCAAGTGTTCTTGAATAATGAATGAGTATTGCGAAGACTTAAAATCTTCATTAATGTATGATAAATGTGGTGAACGATGGAAATTGGAGCCCTTCCCTTTACTGATTCTCAATTCCAATATGTAAGTTTTTCTATTATCTTTTTTAATACTTGATCTTGCATTAAATGGTTTTTACGAAAAATCGTATAAATTCTAACATTGTTCGTGTATTCATCATTCAAAAATAATAGATAAGCCTCGTTAACAAAATATGTGCTATAAAAGGAGGTACCACGTTAATTACATCTCAGATCTACTTTCTGAAAGAATCATTACAACGGTCAGAAATAAAAACCATATCAAAAATCATGTGGATTTTCATCAACTGTTCGATTGAAAGCCCATCCTTCGATTCTCAGGCGAAAGAAAATCTTACATTAAAATTTTTGATCTACTTGTGATCCAAGTGACACCTTCTTCAATAAACTTAAGTAATTGTACTATTCCTATAATATCATATTACTTTGTTTTATGCTTGTAAAAAAAATATTTTATATATATATGGTCCATTGATTTTTCTCTTATATAATAGTTCTTAAATGTGATCACATTATAGATGAAATTAATAATAAACTAAATAAAGAATTAAAGAAGACGTGTGGAAAAAACCAAGTAAATAAATTTTTCGAAGGGAGGGGGAATTGATAAAAAGTGTTTTGTTAATTAAATTTCATATATTTTTAATAGAATCACTAGTTTTTCGAAATCGGAAGAAGGATTGTACTTTAATCCTTACCGAAGGTGACTCTGCAAAATCTTTGGCGAAGATGGACGTGAAAATTATGGAATTTTCCCACTCTGATGAAACCTTTTAAATATTCGTGAAGGTACCCAATCTCAGATCATGAATAACTCATTGATCAATAAATAAAGTACATCCTTGGACAGAAGCAAGGAAATATATACATCAACAAGTAAATTACGATATGAGCATCTGATGATCAAGGTCACGATATAAGTCATATAAAAGGATTAATAATTCAATTTCTTGGATCATTTCTTTCCCTCCTTGCAAAAAGTTCCGGGTTTCTTATAGGAATCTATCATACCTAGTGTAAAGATATGAAACCATTCAATCACGCTAATACATCCAATAATCATTTAACAATTTTTCTAGTGTACAAGTGTGATAAAGCTTTTGAAAATTGGACCCCTCATGCTATAAATCAGAAGATCAAATATTACAAGGTAATTTTCAGTTATAGATATTTTACAAAAATTGATGTAACTAATATAATAAATACTCCTGTTTCTATGGTCTTGGCACCTCAAGCAATATTTTTAAAATTTAAAACGCCATAAAAAACCTTTAGGATCTATTCAAGAAGGTGGATGAGAATTGATCGATATGGCTTTAATAAAAAGAAAGCTGATGATCGCAAGGATTTTTTAAGTAATTATGAAGTATGTATAGAATTTTTTTTTCTGTTGTTACAGAATGTAACCTTTTTAACGAAAATATACATTCTAAAATTTATATTCTTCTAGACCGGTATTTACATGAATCACGATGAGCAAGAAATCACAATAACGGATTTTATAAAGAATGATCTTTTTTCGTCGAGCGATAATGAACGTATGTTCTCGACGGATTAAAGCCTGGCCAGAGAAAGTTTTGTACACTTGTTATAAGAAAATTTCAAGAACGAAATTAATGTTTCTTCGTTAGCCGGGGCTGTTTTAGAACGAGCGGCATATCATCAAAGTACAATCATCGGATTTTGTCGGTCCAAATAATACCAATATCTTCATGCCGAAGGTCAATTTGGTATAATCCTCAAGGGGAAACGATGCAGTGCACGTTGCAATCTCTGAATTACTCGAAAAATATTCCATCCTCATGATGACCCACATTACTATCATATTGTAATGATGACGGTCAGTAAGTGGAACCAGAATGGTATTTGCAATGATTCTTGTTATTGGTATCGGAACCGAGGAGTTAATAGTAAAAATATATATATATAGCATTTCACATAAGGCATAACATCATTTATTCCAAATTACAATCCTCGCTATATCGTTAACAATTTAAAACTATTAATAATGAAGAATTAAGTCCAACGCATCCCTGGTATCGTGGGCTCCAGGTAATATAATTATTAATAATCCTTTAACATAATCCTTTAACAGACTTTCGAATTCTCTAAATATTAAATTATGTTTCCTTATAACTTATAGGGTGAAATTGAACACGTAAGCAATGAAAGATACAATATCAATGGCAAGATCAACCAAGTTTACGAATGATGCGTCAGCTTAAGCTGTGGATATCTAAAGTGCCAAGTTGGATCCTCGCACGTAAACTTTTATGTGGTTAATATGCTTTAGAAATTTTTTATTTTCTATTAATTTATTTTTAATAAATAGGAGTACAAAGAAGATCATACGACAACTACCGTAGACTTTAAGTTATCGCCAACAAGTCTAAGAGATTCTTTAGAAGGAGGGCTTGAAAAACAAGCTCGACCATCGGAACGTCGAACGTGGTATGTGTGTTTCGATGGATTTGAGAAATGCCAAAGGAATTTTACTGATACAGGTTCGATTACTATTGTAAGAGGAAGGTTTTTATTTATATTAAAATTATCATCTGATTATAATTTAATTTGTAGAGTAGGATTTTAAATTTATAATTCTCAATTAACTTTTTAGGCTCACATTATAAACATACTTGAAATTGAAGTTAACAAATTCAAAGAATAAAGCCATATTTATTAATATGAAGGTTAAGAAAAACTCTTAATTATGAAGACCTTTCGAGAATTGCGACTATTGAATTATTAGAGTCCAATGGCTTTGAAAGATTTACGGACGATGATGATGAGTATGATGACGATAAGGATGCGGCTGCTATTGACATTGATGATCTTCTCATAAGATCATGGATGGTTATTTGATGAAGCTTTAAGCGTGAAGTTTCTATGTAGAAGACGTAGGTTTTAAAATACTTTTATTTTATTCTGTATATTTTATTCTGCAATATTAAAAATATCATGATAAAAATTTATCCTTTTTGTATTAGAAGAAAAAAAATCCTAAAGAAAAAGGCTATGAAAAAATGAGTACTTAATGAACTTAGGAGGAAAACACTCCCAAAAATGTTGATAGAAGATTTAGATTGTTTTGGGATGTATGTACGTTGTGAATTTATATATATGTATTATAAACCTTTTTATATAAAACAATAAATAATAATAATAATGATGATGATGTATACTATTTGATAATACTATTTGATAATACTATTTGATAAATCACAGGACAGTAGCGATATCGAATAAGGGATGTCGCTGAAATCACGCCGAAATCCTACTAAACCCAGAAAATTCATTACCTACTGAGGGAATCAGTTGATGGTATGTTAGGAAAGAAACGATCATTATCAATTGATGAATCGATTGATGATATAGTAGGAAAGAAGCGATTATCAAATAACGACATGAAAGAAACGATTATTACCCATTTAATCGGTTGATGACGTGGAGAAGTATTGAAGAAGTAATGTTTCAAAAAGAAAATGATATCCTTTGATAAAAAGAAGAAACGAGATAAAGGGAAAACATTAAGGTGAAAAAGAATGTTATATCAGAGATCTAAGAGAGACCTAAAAACGTCCCTGCAAAGCAATAAATTATGTTGAATTATCTGAAGAAGAAAATACTTATATTTTATAGAGGTAAAATCTTTAAAATATTCTCGGTAATTATTGAATCGCAAAATCACAAAGTATTAATAGGCGATCCTTTTTTGTTTGTTGTTTAGTGAGGATTTCACATGGAAGTTACCAACAATCACAAGAAAATTTTAGTGTTCGATTTATAGAAATCGGAAAAAAAAAAAATTTAATGATCTTTTACCATTTTTAATAATTTTTATAATATAAGTTGGTCAATAAGATAGATTATCTTTTTTTAAAAAAATTACATGAACCGTAATTACTGTAGTTCCCCACTTAATTCCAATTTAATTAACAATATTATCTTTTTTCTTGAATTCCCATTTTTTCGATTCGTATTAATCATTTTTAGATCGGATCGGATCGACTGAAAAAAATGTAACCAAAAATGTATTAATATTACAGATAGTTTAGAAGACAGTTGATTAGTAAAGAAAATTTTTTATTAAAACGTGTCGTCTAATTTTAAAATTTTAAAACTGATCGGGCTAAAGATTTTTCATCCCACGTGACAAAATTTTAAATAATGTTCTTTTTAGGAAATTTTAGTATAATCCAATCAGAGGGATGTCTTCCAATATTACACAGCATCGCCACATTTGGAAATTTTTTCGTAATAAAATTATATTTGTCACGTCATTATTTGTCACAAGGTTAATTTCTTAATGTCGTAATGCCGGCTAAAGTCACTTTAGAAGGGTTTACTATTTTTCCCAAGTTCTGATTGGCTAGTATAATTGATATTTAGTTAGGGTTAGGATTAGGATTAGGATTACAGTCCGGGATTTTACTAAAAATGGAAATAAATCTAGAATGATCTACAATCACATGCATAATATTTACTGTAATTGGTTATTAATGGCTGATCCAAAGATGCAAATACTTCATATAACAAATATACTCCTTTTGTTACCAGATAAAATTTACTATTAAAAAGTTGATCTATAAAGAATTATCAAATGATTTACAGAAGTTACTGAAATTAATTTTATGTCGATCACAAATTAGAAGATATGCATAATTCTGAATCTATAGGATTCTTAGGATTCTTAGGATTTATCTGATTCACTAGATCCATCTGATAAGTCTTATAAGCCAAATAATTGTTATAATACTTATTTTCATTATTTTAATTATTATCATTATTTTTATTATTTTTATTATTATTATTATCACTATTATCTTTATTATTATTATTATTATTATTATTATTATTAGCACTTATGATTACAAATGTAATTAATTTATAGCATAGTGGCAACTAGTTAGCCATAGCAAATTAATTTTGTATAAATAGAATAGCTTTTTATTTAAGTTGTAAAAATAACTCTCTTGTAAGTTCTTAAATATTTGTAAGTTTCAAGTAATAAAGGAATCAACTTTGAAAAATAATTATTTTTCCCTTCTACATGTTCATCATCTAGGATTTGATCGTGAACCACTACACTGACTTGCTTTTAAGTTCATCACTTAGAATAAATAAATTCTCTACATTTTTTCTTATGTTCCTAAATCTTTAAGTTTGTAAAATCAAGTGAAATAGGCATTCCAGATACCTGTAGAATGTGAAATTTCCTAAGGTTATAAGTCTAATAATAAGAAATTTACTTGTCACAGTAAAGTAACTTAGTGAAACATGTGTAATAGAAAGAAAATTATTCTTGAAGATAGTGTATACTTCAATAATCTGCTTTCATTCTTAAGGCTTTGCTTAGTAATATAAAATATAATATTGGCTTGAACTTTAACCTTTAAAATGGAAAATAAATCACTTGCTAGAATACTACCATGTTTATTTAAAGAGTTTTTCGCTAAATATTCAGAAAATTAACTAGTATCATATAAATTTGAAAAAAACAAAAGTGAAAACATGCATCAACAAAGGCAGTAATAGACCGAATTGGTATTTTCGCTAAGTGTTATCTTCATTTAGCAATTCTTTAGAAAGTTATTCAATTTGTGAAAGATATTACAATCAAATTGTCATTATTGACACTTTTCTAAATAGGTTAATAACAGCAAATAATTCTAAAGTAAATAGTTAACGAAAAAGACTAAGGACCAATGAAGATAAAATATTATATCACTTATGCTAGAGTTATCAGAAACAAAAGAAACTTTAACCAATTCTGAATCTCAATGAATAAGATATGTTAAACTTATAAAAGAATATGAATAAAATATCATTTAATTAGAATCTGAAAATAAAGAATTAAAAAAGAAGTGGAATAGTAGATTTGATAACCAACAAATGAGAATTGATTCTGTTATTGAAATCACAAAGAAAGAACACAAACAAATTTACGATAATATTATTAATTTGATGAGCAATCAGAAATATTTTAATTTAGATAATCTTTTAAAATATTTTCCATTTGATTGGCTTTCTAAACATAATTCAGTTATCATAAGTTTTGTAAAAATGTTAATATGTAATGAGAATAAAGATTAGCTTAAAGGTAAAAAGCTCTTTAAATATACAATTGCGGTAAATGCTTTCTATGGAACGAGATATTTAAAATATATCTCAATTATTAATCTTGCTACCTTCGCAATCAAATATTCAATAGTAAGATCTAAAACTATTATTGATATTGACAATCACATTATTAGGTCTAATAGCTATACAAAATTTACTAGTTAATTGAAAGGTTTAGCTGGTGAACAATTATCGCTTTCTAAAGGTTTTCTGGATCATAAATATAATACATTGTATTTCATATAGTTACAAGTTTTATTACCTTTCATCATGATCAATATGATAACATTCAAATTAATACTGACCTTTGGTTATATTCTGAGCTTATCCAACACCAATATGAAAATTTATTTTTTTAACTCCAAATATGAAAAATGAAATTTATAAAGAACTCGTTATCTATCTTATAATAATATTAGAGGAATTTCTTATCAAAAAAATTAGAAAACCAATATAATCAATAATTTAATATATCAAAAAAATCAGCCAGAACATATAAAAAAATGTTTTGCTTATCTGACTTTTAACATCAACAATAATAAATGAGTTTATCCTTCATGTAATACTAAACTATTATTAATAGCTAAAATAAGCCAGCAATATAATGAGTCATTTAAGATTATAAATGCTATTAAGAAACTATTCAGCATCTGTTCTCATACTTTTAAAAACTGAGTAATCAAAATTCTACTTATAACATTATATTATATAACAATTAAATTTGAAAAGCAAAAGTAACATATTGTAAATATTTATACTTAATCTAATAAATATTAATCCAAATTTAATTGCTAATGTTTGAAAGGTTCTTAAGCATATTGAGAAGATATCTGATATTAAACGGGATAAATGTAAATGTGTTATAGTTATCTATAATGGAATACCTTATAATCACATACAGAAATTCAAAAATGACTTTTCTTAGCTATATTAGTTTCAGGTCCTCTTTATGAAGAAATAATCATTTGTTAAGTTAAACTGAAATATTAATATAAAAGACTTCACTCAATTTTAAGAATATCAATTTGAAAATCAGCTTTATTTTTTAAAAATGTGTGCTGATCATTATAAATTTTGGGATTCTATAAGTAATATATATAAGCACGCAATAGCTTCTGAACTAATGCAACCATATGTTATTTCTAATACAAATTCTTCTGTTAAAGGTTATCTAAAGTAGGCTCAAGATCAAACTGATTATATATTTCAACTAAAATATGAATATATATTTTTTTTATTTACAAGCTGTTATTAATTTTCATACAGATGTTCACACAAATAGACCATCATTAAAAAATACTGCTAGATAAATGTTTATTTCTGTTTGATCTGCTAGGCAACATCTGATTTATTGATCAATTGAGGCTATTAATAGAGAACAAACATTATAACTAAAATTTAAAATTCGTAACCTAATTCAAGAAAGGATAGTAATTTTGCATTCTTGACTTTGAAATTAGTATCAAGGTCTTGATGTAATACTTAAAAAGTCAATAAAGCACTTAAATCATTAGTTCCTCCTATACCTTTACAATAACACTAAGAAATTGCAATATACAACTGTACTAAATTTATGAAATTGCATACCAACTTACTTAATATAATAGAATATTCTGATAGTGAAGTTCATAGCGTCCTAATTTTGTAAAGTAATTATGCCAATTTTGAGTTCAAATAAAAGGATCCTAATATGTAAATTCTAATTATGCTAAAGATTGAAACTTCTAAAATTTTAGTAGACAAATGCTAAATAAAGAAATAAAAAATTTTAAAATTTTAGCGAAATTGCATAAGCAAGAAAAATAGAATTTATTAAATCAAAATTAATTAATAAAAATTTATTAGGAATTTAGCATTCAATTCCTATAACACATGAAAAAGCAGATCTTCAACAATCTGAAACTTTTTTAACAAAATCACAAATTTTACTAATTATCAATTCTTTAATTCTATCTTTAGATAATTTAAATCAATCATGTTTTCAAGGCTTATCAAATAAATTTCATGACAATTTATTAAATATTCTTCAAGTATTATAACCGAAATGCTGAAAATTAAAAATTTATTTTTATTGCATTTTAATAAATAAATTTTATATTTTAAAAAGTTTTATTAAATTTATTAAATAAATTAAATTACTAAATTTAAAAATGTTTAGAATGTTCTTAATATATTTAGAAAATTCCTAATTGACATTTCTTTACTATAAAAGGCAAAGATCATTATTTCATTTTTAGTAAAATCCTGAAGGAAGGGAGGGTCAGAAATGACATCATTAAAATTTTAGAAATTTTGTCACTTTATTAACATATATATAATTTGTAGAATAACATCATGAATTGAATCCCCTTCTTTCCTTTTAAAATGATATCATTTCTGAACTTCTTCTTAAGGTTAGAGCTTAAGTGATTTATCATCAGTATAATACTGGTAGTATTATAATTTTTATTAAGTATTTAAAAGATTTAGAAATTTTTTGAATAGTAATATTTATTTGTCATCCCTTAAGTATATAACAAATTTGCAAATCTTTTTCTAAAATAAAAATGAAAAAAACTTTTTTTAAATAAAACATAAAGATGAATTTTAAATATTTTTTAAAATCATAATATTATATTTTACAAGTTTACTTAGTTTCATTTTAATCTTTTATATATATTTTCAAAATATTTGATTTTGCTAAAAAATAGCATTTAAAATCCTTTTTAATATTTTAAGTAAACTTGTTAAGAAAATAAAAATACATGTAATTTATAAATTTCAAAACCATTTAAAATATACATTAAGTTTTATTTGAAATAATAAAAAAAAATTTTTTTTTTTCACTAAATTTAATTAACTATTTTGAAAAAGGATTAATAGATTTTGTCATGTGATTTTAGAATTTTTCAAAATACTCTTTAAGTAGTTAAAATTATATATGTATCATATGTTAAATTTAGCAAT